GATCTATTGATTGATCAATTCTTGCATATTTATTTGCAGTCGTTATTTTCAACTCTGGTACATAACAGTTGTTTTAGATATCATTCGAGAGAAAATATTGCTAGTCTTTTGGCACTGCAAAAGGAATTGAGCTAGAATTGCTGCGGTCATATTTCTGTGAGTTATTCAGCTTCTTTCTTTAAGTATTCGAGTACAGAACGGTTGTGTTAGGTTATTATATTCGTAGCAAGCTACTGATTCATGGACTATTGCTTGTATTATCAGCAATCACTGATCGCTGAACAACTGGCTGATAAGTAATCTTAGTGCTGTATTGCTAAGCACATGTCTTTTCCAGTTGATTACATTCGACCTCTTTGGAATGCTGCCAATTTCCGATTATATCCTATATTTGTCGATGAAAACACTGGAAAGTAGTCATGTCTACACCTTCCACATCGACAAACGATACTATATTTATTCATGCTGTCTAGTTATGCAGAGTTAAGTGTGGATCAGCATAACTCAATTAACTTCTAAGCTGCTACTAATGCTGGGTGTCCTCAATGGAAAATCACGGTAATCATCAGAGCAACCGCTTACGCTTAGGTAGGGCGTCGCGTGCGTCTATGGTTTATTGTAGGGTGTGGGAGGGGTTGCGTTGCATTGCTTGCGTCAGTGCGTTATATTTGACGGTTTGGTAAGGCCGTAGTCAGGGTTGATAGGAATGTGTTGAGTGTCACCTTTTCCGTGTAAAGAGAAGTATATTGTGTTATTGTAGTGAGTAATATGTGTTGCAGCAATAGAAGGTTAGATAAATATATATTTTTCGTTTCTTAACCGGAGACAAGATAATGTTTGGGGCGGTGAGATTTATGGTCTTGGGTATTAATGTTGCATCCATCGTCTTACACTACTCATTGCATCCATGTCAATATCTGTGTTGGGTATGCTGATGGTGATTGTTTTATTTAATACATATTATACGTTAAATTTGAACGCCCATTTGTTATTCATAATTGCGAACTAGTGACGTGGTGAGTCACGACACCAGTGCGCTGTCATCTTAATTCTATTCTAAATCTTACCATTTCGAAAATTCATCTCAAAATCACTTTTATTCTATTACACAATATCAGAAATCTGAATCGCTGTAATATGCAGTAGGCAAAGAAGCTATTTTTCATTACTATCAGAATTTGATAAATCTCATGAGGCCTATATTGTTGCTTTCGTTTACTACCGCTCATTTTTTTTCTACCGCCTCCATATCTCGTTTAATTTTTTCTAGGGTATATGATGTTTATTAGTCTCTCTTGTCATAGTGAAGTCATCTTTATTTTTCGGAAAAGCCATTTTGATACGAAATATAATTATTGCACTAACAGTATGCTCCGTTGGTCGTTTGAATAAAACTCGCTCTAAAAAGCTGAGTTCACTATTATTATTTAATTATTATCGTTATATTCATTTTACCATACGTTTCATGCACGCTGATTAAGTTTCTCATGATTTCTGTCTTATTGCATACTTGATGAGAGCTCTAACTTGTGGTTAATTTTTGCATATTAAGACTTATATTCATTCTAGGTATCCCTAATGTTTCATTGTCGTTCTATCCCATTGTTATGCTGTGTTTGAAGATATTTTATTTCAGGGTATTTTTTAGATAGTCTGTAACGACTAAGCTTTCGTATATTTTCGGTTTATATAAGCCTTCTTTCTTTATAAATACCTTATCCTGTATTCAATTTTTCGTAATTGAACACTTCTGTAAACAGGTTTGTAATTTATTCCAAAATTTAGGATCAGTTTATTTGAGTCATAATTTTGAAATAGAGACATTATTTTCAACCAGAATGTGGTTTTTGATGGGAAAGAGCTGTACTAATTTTTTTATATTGAAAAATTCTGAGTTAGTAAATGAGAGCAGTTATATCATTTTTTAGAATATTATGGATACTCAGGATAGTCAACAAGAAGAACAAAATCAGAATCTGGAAACCGTTAATGGTGGTACGTTGAGTGAAGGATTGAATAATCTGGGCAAGGGCAATGAAGATAAGTAATAATTCGTTATTGTTTTTTTCTCACTATCTGTATTGGTAGTAATCAAGGATTTTTATTGATTTTTAAGTGGGATAATTGCTTCCGAAGTGTGTAGGTAAAAGTTGTTGAAGGAAAATATTCGTTGGTGGAATAGCATACGACGTTACAAATGAAGATTTGTCGCAATACTTTTCTCAGTATGGAGAGGTAGCGCAAGCCCAAGTAAAATTTGATCGTATTACGGGTCGTTCTCGTGGCTTTGCATTTGTTGAGTTTACAACAGGTGAAGCGTGCAGAGCTGCACTAAATGCCAGGGAGCAATCTGTCAAAGGGAAAACTGTTGAAGTAAAACCAGCAAAATCCCGAGAAAATAAAAAAGTATTTGTGGGTGGCTTGCCTGCAGATCATCCAGGTACCTACATTTTCTCAATGGTTCTTGATGTTTGCTTCAGAATCTAATGCGTTTTTCTTTTGCAGAATGTTTTCATTCACACTCAGTCAGTGTTAAAATTTTTCGAAAATGTTAACATTGCTTCTTTTTGAGCATCAAGAGGTTGCTTAGCCCTTAGAAGATGCGCATTCAATTAAATTTGGTGCTAGATATGGTTTTTTTTTTCGTTTTCATTACATGTATTGCTTCGTCGTAGATGCTTTACATACTTGATCAAACCTGAATATGGATTGAATTTGAGCTGAATGAAGTAGGAATTAGTTTTTAACAAAGCATCATTTTAGAAGAAGAATTGCGTGCTCATTTCGAGCAGTATGGGAAGGTGGAGGATATTGAGTGGCCTTTTGATAAGCAGACAAAAGCCCGAAGAAATTTTGCTTTTATCGTATTCGAAGAAGAAGATGCAGCAGATAGAGCATCAGCAACACCCAAGCAAATGTTTGGATCGCGTGAGGTTGGTCACTATAAATCTTGTGATTCATCTTCATTCTTGCTTCCATTATCTGCAGAAGATTTTTCTATAAGTAATTTTTTTCGCTGATGGTCGTAGTTGTTTATAGTGCGATGTCAAAAAAGCTGTCCCTCAAGGCAAACGTTTCCCCGGTGGTCGAGGTAGTGTGGCAATGAGAGCTGGATATGGTGCAGGTCGGACAGGCGTTATGAATGGTTGGTTCGGGCAAACTGGATGGGGTCAAATGGGAGCATTTGGTGCTTATGGAGGAGGTTCTGGAAGTGCAGGTGCCTGGGGTGATTGGTATGGTAATGCTGCAGCTAGTTATTATCAGCAGGGACAAGCTGGTGGCTATTACGGTACTTTTATTTCATATTAATTGTAGTGATATCTTCTGTAACTATTATAATGTGCACACAATAAGTTTAGTGTGTTATTGTTTGAGAATGTGTTCTTTCAAGTTATTAATTTTTCGGAATGTTTTCATGATATTTTCTGCATTTACAGGCACTGGTGGATATGATGCTTATTCACAGGGAATGACCCAACGTGGAGCAAGTCAGCAACGTTATCCGCAACAACAACAGTATTGAGTATTCCACTATATATTGATGCGACGAAAATTTCTACAGCCACCGTTTCGTCGTTTTTTTTTACTTTATTTTTCAGTTCGTCATTATAATTCATTTTTATTTTGCAGTTTTTGTTATGTGACGAGTCTTAGAGTCGTAAGCTCTTTGCATCATTAAAATAACTATCTCTAAAATATCCCTCACAACGGCACCATCTTTCATTGGTCTTTTAAGAAATTAAGAGAAAAAGTATATCATACGGATGTGTTTCGTTTTGCTTCATAAGCTAATTTGTGGTTGTAGCAGTTGTAACGTTTTCGTAATATGCAGTTACTTTTTTCTTAATGTTTTTCTTCTATCTCACAGTTTTGGATGAGGTGTCACACGATGCCTTCTTCGGCCTCTCATTCCAACATGAATTTTTAGCATTTTGTTTAATTCTTGCTCTCCAAGTAATTAATAATCATGTTCTACAGTTGGTTCCCACTTATGGGAATGAAGCAGTAATTCAATGGTTTCGTGTAAAAGCAAGTCTTATAGGTCTTCCTTTTATTTTACTTCATCCTTATACGTTAAAGTGAAATAGTGATCTCAGCCATTGCACTAACGAAAAATGTTTCTATAAAGAGTAGTATTTTGACGTCATGGCTGAGTTCACATTTGCTAATATTCTTGTTCTCTCTAACGTTTGAATACTTTTTGTTGTTGAACCATGTATTCCTTGTACCATCATTGTTGTTGCAAATCGTTCTAACTGTTGATATATCAAAATTATTCTAACGACGGTGGTTTTTTAATAGACGTATAGCCATGCTTTAAAATGAATATAGTTAGATATTCGTTAGTGCTTAGCTGCCCATTTATTTTTATATTATAAGATATGAGATAGGTTGTCGGTCCAGTGGCTTAAAATCAACCTAGTTTTTTTGAATGAAAAGAGTTGCATATTACATGGAACCATAATATTGAGAGCAAGTATAGGGGATTGAAATCTAAATTCATTTAAGCTGTAGGAATCACCAGAAACCTATGTTACAAAGTAATGCCAGTTTTGTCTCACGGAATTTCGGCACTCTCATATTACTTCTGAAATCTGTTTCACCACTGTAATGCAACTCATGTTGCGTTTTCGTAATACGCTGTGTTCTCTAGTTTTCAGTCTTTACGTCCTCAGACGTTTGAGTTGTATTACGTCAACCAATGATGCCTTCAAGATCCGGAACATCTTTGTCTAACAGTTTATTATTTTTGTTAGCAGTCATCTGGTCTCTTAACATCTAGTTCTTATACATTTTTCTTTGCTCTCATGGAATGTTTGTTTCACAGGCAAGCTCAATCTTTTTTCTTTAACACACTTTCGATTTTTTTTACTTTGAATTTTGCTTTGCATCGCGATCAAATTACTGTTACTTTGAAGGTACATTTTTGCCTCTTTCTAAGAAGGCAAATGCGATGGTGCCTAAAAATTCAAGAGGTCTAAATGTAAAATACTGATGCAGATATCTGGGAGTCCGAAATCGAAATTTGTGATATTATATGAACTGCGAGACCAGGAGCAGCTAAAAACCAATTTTTTGAGGTGCATGAATTCATATAATCTGTTTTTGCATTGTATTCATGGGCATTTTACATCTTCTTCTGTCCTTATTTCTCAGCTTTTGATTGTGAAACTGCTGCGTATTCAAAAAAATATTTGTTCATTGAAGGAAGTACTTTAATGCTTTATTCATTGAAACTTTGAATATTTGACGTGATTACAGTTGATGTCGCATGTTTTATGTAGAGGATTAAGTTGATTTACCGCGCTTATTATCAATCATGGAAAAGGTTCGTAAGCCGGTGCGCGGATTGTCGTATATTCATATGTTCAAGCTGCTTGATGCCCCTACTTCTATTCTACTTTTCAGTCATTATCTTTTTCCCGTTTTTCCATGAGGTGGCAGTACAAGTTTGTAGCAAAAAAAGTGTGATTTTTGTGACTAGTCATGCACTCCATCTGATCCCCCGAAGTAGTTCTTGCATCAAGTCCTTGTTTTCCATATTGTGTTTGATTTAACTTCCTCCACAAAAACGCATCATTTTCAAAACATCAGCCAATGATTTTGGTTAGCCTTATTTGTCATGTTTACTATTACTGTCCGTTGATATGTTTAGTAGTGGCTCCCCCTCTTTTTTAATTTTTTCAGAAATCTTTTGCTGTGCTCCGATGCGTGAATACTTCTGTCTCTCCATACTATTGGATATTTCTGTCATTCAATATCTTTCTATCTCAGTCCCCTTGTTGTTTTCATGGTCGCTTTTTCTGCATTATTTGGAAGTTTTCCATTTTATCGCCAACAGCTTGACACCTACTTTCTATCAATCAAGCAGTTGAATATGTTGTGTGTATACAATCAAGATGTGAGCATCCATTTGTTTTGCAGATGTATTTTCTGATTTTCTTATGATGAGTGATACCATTGCATAATGCATTTTAGTTGCATGAGTATCAATTTTAATGAATACATCTCCTTGTTTCTGTATTGGGTTCATTTTGGCACACAATTATTTTTTGCTCTTAGAAATGTTGAAGGTTTGCACTGATGTTGGATAAATTGGAAGTTGATATTTTTGTGTTTGACTTTTCATACTATACTATTGGCTATGAGTCCGTTACCTTCAAGCACTCCAGACCATAATTTATGGTGCTACCTTGGGCTATACATCTTTTATTTTGCTATTGTTGAGGAAGAGTATACGGTATAAGTTAGAAGTTTTCGATACATTTTAGATATTGTTCGGAGCCAACATAGAACAACTGTTTCATTTTTTGAGTATATTAAAGTTACGGCACTATAGGGAGTTGGTGATTAGATATTCAGTGGCGTGTTGGGAATTTAGATAGACCCGTCTGAGAGAGTCAGTCATATTCTGTAGAGTTAGAGAGAAGAAGGTCTCAAACATATTTGCATTTTGTTTGGTCAGTTTCCAACTTCTAATCTTGAGTTATCACTCTGCCTCTGTCGAGTTGGGAGTGTGTTTGCACTCAACTGTTTTTTTCAAAGCGTTAGTTGCGAGCGATTTGTATAGCATCTCTAGTGAAGTGTACTGCGTTTTTTCTGGTTTTTATCTATTCCATTTAAGGGGATCATGTTTTAGTATGGCACAAACCTTGGAGTCCTTCACGAACAAAGTGATATCAGTGATTACGGGGGATGGTCGGAATATAATTGGGCTGATGAGAGGTTTTGACCAAACAATCAACCTAGTTCTTGAAGATTCTCACGAACGCGTTTTTAGTGAAGAATCAGGTGTTGAGCAGATTCCGCTTGGGCTATACATCGTGCGTGGTGATAATGTGTTAGTTTCTGCTGTAGTTTGGCTTAATGTTTTTTTTAATCTCTCAATATAGTTATGGTAAAGCACTGAATGCTTTTTAGAGCCAGGTTATTTTGTTAATAGTGAATAAAGCTAGGATTTACTAACTTTTTTACTAAATAGTTGTTGAATTTATTTAGCTCATGAATTTTTTTATAAGTGCTTTTGCAAGTAATTTTAGAAAAAGCGGAACATGTTAGTTCGTCATTTACAGGTTTTTCGTTACTGGAAATAGATTCTAAATTTGAAAGTTCTCTAGGAAATGGTCGTCAGACATAATGTTTGCAAATACAAGAATGTGACTTATGGTCACCTACGACTATGCAAACGCTTTCGATAATATGCATCAGTGAATACTCTTTTCATATCGTGCTCATTGTTATTTTTTAGAGCGGTGGTTGGTGAATTAGATGAAGATCTGGATAAGCGATTAGATTTTAGCAAAATGAAAGCGCCACCGTTGGGTGCAATATGGCTATATATGTGAAAGGCGCATTTTTGGAATGCAATTGTGATCTCATAAGCAGTTTATGGGTGTAACGGCTGTTCTCTTTCATCTTTATGGTTGGCAGAGAAACTCTTCATATTTGTCATAAATATTGATTAGCTCACGCTACGCAGTTTCACCCAGGAATCAACTAAAATTTTAATTTGTTTTCTGCCTCGTTTGCCGTAAACATTATTTGCTTAGTTGGTTTACTGATCATGCTTATATGTTGGTTACAATTATGGAAGTAGCTGTTTTAATTGTCTTTTTTTCTGATTTTTTGAACTTCTAAGGGGCTGTTGCTGTGTTTTTAATTTGTTATTTGCATGTTATAAAACGTTTTACTCTCTATTGGTATTGATTAGGTTCTAAAAATATGAGAAGAGCCAATGACAATTGATTTTTATCTGGTCTAGATGTATCGGGTATTGAGAAAATATAGGTCTCTCTCTGTCACATTTCATCTTTTTGCTACTGTATGAGCTTAAGCACACAATGCAATGCTTTGTGCTTTTCTTCTAGTGGATTTGTTTAGCATGACATGGTTAAGGTCTATATTCAATTATAGAATCTCATATTTTTAGGTGGTAATTATGATTGCCCTTACTAAAAGCAATATTTCTTTCATTATTTTGAAGTTTCATTACATAGGTATTGTAGAGTTCGAAAATATTTTTAACTTGTTAATGGAAGCATTTTTTTTTTCTGTTTGAGTTTATTTTATAATATTGTTAGAATCTTGTGTTTCATGCTCTGTTATTTGTTAATGTTCAGTTGTTACTAATGAAACTTTTTAACAGAATAAGGTTAATTCTTATCAGAGGCAATTGCATTTGTCCGTATTCATTTTCAATATTTCTCACCAATGTAAGATTTCTCTCTGTTAAATTACGTAACAATTTTTTTTAAATGCAACTTTAATATTTGTTAAATATCTGGGTATTGTTTCAGAAGTTTGAAAGTCCCTGCACTTATTGGAGACAATTAGGACGTATGTGAAACAGAACAGGTTTTTTATATTATGGTATGTTCTACTGTGAACTTTATTAGTATTTGGGTTAGATAATTTTTACAAAGTATATAGTATTACTAACTACTACTAGGTTTCAATGTTATTAATGTGCGCTTTTTACGTTATTTGTATGTGTTATCCATTCTTTACGTCATCTGTATTTATTCTCTCTCTGTTTCTTTTACAGGACGACTTTTTCGACGATTTAATTTGTTTGGATGAGGAAGGTGATTCTGAGGATCCAGCAGAGGAAACAATGTATGTGACAGATAAAGTTTTGAAAGCGGATGCAGACGATAAATATATGAAAGTAGATGTGACTAAAAAATTAGTGAGAGAAACTGCAGTTGACATATCTGTGGAGCATGGAAAGGTGGAGTTTTTCTCTTTTCAAGTCACATTAATGCTGAAGCTGTACCTTCGTGATGACATTTTCTAGTATTATTTTTACTGTGGATTTCGATTTTATTTATTTTACTCTTTTTATTCTAACATGTTTTTTTTCTTGCGAAGTTATATTTCAGTTCAAACATCTATCTATGTTCAAGTCTTCTCCTAAATTAGAAAGTCAGTCGGAGCAATGTGGATCTAGCAGAAAAGAAACACGACATCAATGTGACCGGAAACAGGGATCCAAATATAATAGTACACGAATTAGTAAACATGAAAAAACAGAATCTAGAAAAAATAAAGTCAAGAATACGGACAATCTCCCTAATGGTACTAGTCTTTTGGAAGCTAATTATTGTGAATCAGTGGAGTATTTCTTTTTTTTCATTAAGTTTTGCTGTTGTGTTTCCTCTCTGTTACAAATTATTTGCAGTTAAAGGTGATGCTAGTGATGGTACGAAATCAGTAAAGGATTCATATGTGCTTTACTCATCCAGAAAAGAACAGAATGGGTAATATAGTTTTCAGTGATTTTAAGTGAAAATATAATTTGAATAAAAGTACATCCGATTGTTACTATGAAATTCGTCGCCATTGCCTTTGTTTTATCATATATGTAGTAAGTGGATGAGATTAATGAGTAGATTCGTTTGATTAATAGATAGTCTTTGTAAATAAATGCATGCGAAATAACTGAAGTTTTCTCATTTTTCTTGAAATAAGCACATTCATTCAAATTTGGAAACCTGAATGTCACCACGATATTTTCAGTATCAAATATAGGTATTTTGATGAAAAATTTATCATCAAAATATAAAATCTTCAGTTCTAGGGTCGGCATTAGCTATGGAATTAAAAAAGAGAATTCATCACTGGTTTGTGACGGCAAAGATTGGCACTCTCTTTGCGATGATGTCCGCGAGGATTCCGTACGATTAGCTGCAAGCACGAATGAATCTGTCACTGAAAAAGCGAAAGAACATGTACAGCAGAAATGGAAAAGAACGGAAAAGATTGGTAACAAATCAAGTTCGCAGCATCGTACTAGCAGTTCGCTTCAAAACAAAGAAATACGGAATAAATATGATGGTATATATGGTCGCTGTCTTTTTGGGAAATCATGTATTCTCTTTCTATCCATCATCTCAATTACTTTGGCCTGTGTATTTGGGAAGTATTGCAGAATTAATATGTGTTCTGTAATTCATTTCAGCAGCACATTTCTGTCACATTTCTTCCATGCTTTTTTCAAGGATACAGCAAGTGTCGCTTCACCAGTTTTTTACTTCTCGAATTCGGAGGAGAACTTTTTCTTCTCAATCAAACTATTACCAGAAGTAGAAGAAAGAGCAGTTCAATTATTTTTAGTTTTTCAAAACGGAGCATGGAGTTCGCAGAGTATTCCGCAGCTCAAATAACTTACTCGTAACGTTTCAGTTTCACATATATAGATCTTTGTGAAAAGATCACAAGTGTGAAACAAGTATGAGCAAGTGCAAAGCATCAAAGAATTGGAAGCATAAAGATGTTATTAGTTAGAAGAGCAAAATTGGCTGTGATTGCATGGGTTGAAAATTGTCAAATGATAGCAGCTCTGTTCATAATTTCTGATATCATGATGATTTCAAGTAATTTTCTACTCTGGGTGGTACTTGTGAGATCAAGCAATGATGAAAACTCGACGAGCTAAGCAGAGGAGAAGCAACAATGAAGATGATATTTAAGGTGAAGAATATCATTCGTTCTGTCTATCACTGGGCTGAACAGTCGCCATTGATTGGTTCTGGTTTTATCCGAAACTTCCCAGAAAATAAGATGAAATCTAGGCTGATTAGGAGATGGCATTTCCCTCCTTAATTTTTATTTTATTGTGAAAAGTACTGATGCCCGTTAAACGTTATGCGATGGTGGTAACATTTCAAGCTATTTTGAATGGAACTTCGTTCTTCAAGAATGAAGCGTTTGCGTTTTATTACAGCTGGAGCTTGAAAATTTTTGGACTGCAGTGAGAATATTGAACATTGAAGAGTTATAAAATTCATCAATAATTTTTCCCGTTGCCACGTGCTTATATTTATTTTTTTCATGATGAATTTATTTCAAAACAAAACAAGAATCCAGGTATTTACAAAGTTGTTGAAGGAATCAGTTGTCGACTGCACATGTTATGCAATTGAGTACTGAATCTCACAGCAGAGAAAATTATGGCTGAGTGTCATTTAGATTTCTGAAACTAGTAAGGTATAATTTCTGAAACTAGTGTATGGTAAAACGACTCGTTATCTCATACAAAGTTCTTAATATTTATTAATATCCTACGTACTGAATACGTTTCGTCATTATATTGAGTGTTTGAGACTCCATTGTTTTCATAGGTTTGTTTTCTTGTGATCTGTTTTGTTCATTAAAGATGCCGGTTACTTTAGGCATTTTTATTATGAAATGAGGAAAATCGGGAAGAATTTAATTTGTTTGAGCTTGAATTCTCAGATTATTTAGGTAGGGAGCATGGACAGAAACAGTCGTTAAAATGGAAAGATCATTTGAAAAGACCTCACCATGGCGAGGCAAGTCATCTTGAGAAAGACAGAAAATTTTCACGATATGGAAATAGTTTGGTGGGGACTTCAGAATATTGCAGCAACACGAGACGTCGTATGTCGCTTTTTGTATCACCTCTATATATCATTGAGATTTGTTTGCAAGCTAAGCATGTGTACTTTAAATCCTCTTTGTATAGTGAGGAGCGAGCAAAATAGATTTGAAAGAGATAAATATCGACAGTTGAATAGTTCACGCATGGTAAATGAAAGTCTGCTTAGGTAGGGAATCAAATTTACCTGGTGTAACTATTGATAGTAATTCCCCATGTCCTTGTTTTTTACTTTCAAGCATCTAAGGATGCAAATCATGCGTTTTGTGAGAATTCATTTTAAAAAACTATGAAATTTTGATTTTAAAGTTCATTAAATGATATTTTCAGGACGTCCGATTATTGAACGAGGCCGTCATTAAAGTCCTGCTCTGTGAGGTTGGTTCAGATTAAATATTCGAGATCTTGAGTCATTATTCTTTGTTCTGTTAAGTTTTCTTTGAAAATGGTGCTGTATTCTGAAACATGTTATATTCTTATATTCATCATATGAAATTTGATTCATTTTGAAAAGTCCTGAATTTTCAGGAATATGGAGTTAATACTAATATTGAAGTAGAATGTGGCTTGGAACAGAAGATGCTGTTAAAATTGAATACTTGGGACTTGCTGTAGAAAAAAAATTTTGTTTTTTCTAGCATTGTGTTTTATCGTTTCAAAACTATCATGAATTATGTTATTGTAAAAAGGAGAAAGACTCATTATACAAATCATTGTTATTAAATGCCATTTTATTTTCATGTCTAATTGTGGGCATTTTCCTACTTGCAACTTGTTTCCTGTATCCGCACTATTTCATCTCTTTTTCATATCAATTATGTTTCTGTCAGTAATAGATTTTGAACAGAATCTTATTCTATATAAGTCACAATTTCGATTTACAAGTACAGTTTGTGCAATAAAAGCCGTGTGCAATCATGCCTATGTGGTTTTAATCTGGGTTCTAATACCATTACTTATGGAATAAATGTTGATGCAGATGTGATTATGATGATATGTGGTCCAAACTTTATGGGTTATCATTAATTAATGGTTTCTTATCAGGCTATTAGTTGAGATCATTTTGAACAAGTTTAGAACCTGAAGCTGTGACGGAGTTTATTTTGGTACTGTTTACGCTTAATTAGGATTAACCGTGATAGTCAGTTCTTGCAATAAGGGTGGCTAGTGCTTATGGTCTAAACTCTCTGAATGTACCAAATTGAACAGTCATCACTCTGAGTCCTTATCATGCTAAATTTCTCCTAGCTAATATCATGCACTGAAGTGTCCTTTGTTTATAACTGGTGTCTGTGATTGACTATTGGTCATAGTCAGGATAGAGTAGCAATTATGGCTTTAAATGGTCTCTTTTGAATTGACTTCAATATCAACCGTGGAGTCATGATTGAGCCTTGTTCATAGCATAGTTTCGATGCGGTATGTGATTTTTAAGATCAAAAAGACTCAGTCTACTTGATTTAGCTAGTTTTTGATGTAAAGTGTAGTAAAAATGGCGAAAACAGTTAGTGAGCAAACTTCTGAAATACTACCATCCGATGCGATGTCAGCAGCAACCGCTGCTCATATGCGACATTTAGCAGACGATATGTACAACAAAATTGCTGTATATCTTCAAGGGCAAATTGAGAGTATGTGTTATTGCAAAACTGTGTACATAGTATTAGTGAAGTGTATCATGAATGCCAAGTAATTATTGCTCTTTAAACAGTTTATATTGCTGGAAGAATTCGTTTTTTATGTTTGATTATATCTACATAACACAAAAAACATACAATAAATAACAGTAAATTGTCGATGTGTTAGATTTTAGGTACTATCGCTGAGTACAAACTTCTGGAGGACATGAATGATGTTACATGTCAACGTTATGATGACATGAAACATGTTGCAAACGGTGTTGCGGAAAAATTATCACTGCTTAACTCTAGATGTGACATTTTGATTTCTTTTTTTAACTGCTGAGATAAATTATACATGACAATGGTAACTTTATGAAGAATGAAATATTCATAAATTCTGCAGATGAGATTCTTCGTCCATATTTGCATCAGATTGATGAAATCGATGAAAATACGAGAAATCTTGAGGACGCTGCCAATACTCTTGATCGTTATGTGACAGCCTTGGGTAAGTCAAAGAAGGCGACTGTTTATTCTAACGCTTTCCTATTTCATATAAAAGTAACTACTTGGTTATAAATTATATGACACTTCTATTTAGATGTTTCACGTTATAGATTATTTATTACTTCTGTTTTCGATTACTTCAAGTCATATTTACAGTTTGTGTTTCAGAATCGAAATTCCGAGAACTGCAGCATAATAGTACTAATTCTCCAAGTTGAATCCGTGCATAATTTGGTGTTTTATCTCGCCTTTGAGAGCGCAATTATTAGACATAGTATGCTTGGTTGCTGATGTTTTTGTTGCATATTTAGAGTATTGGGATTAACTTTATATCTGAATCAACTCTAGTCACTGATTAAAAACACTTCATGATTAATATCATTCTTTTAGTATCATGCTGATAAACAATAATCTATAAAGTTTTTATTTTGTTTTACGATAAATGTTTGTAAATACTTTATTTGTAGCTGTGATGCAAGTATTAACTAGCCTTTCTATTTTATTTGAGGTGTATTATGCAATGTCAAGTTCAGTTATCGTGGTAATTGTAGAAGTCTATTCTTCAAACTATTTCGCATAGAAAAAAGCTTAAGATTTGAATAGAGGATGCCTAGAAGTCTGTAAATTATGTATACTGAGTACTGATTCGCATTTTAAGAATTTAATTACTGGCAAGCAGTTATGTTGAACTGAGATTGTGATGCTGTGTAAAATGCTCATACAGATATAACATGTCAAGGAGTAATAATCTTGTTTATTTTGTCATATTTAGGGCTTAGGTAGTATCACAGATGACACCTTTCATATGAAAAAGTTAAGTATTGCATTTTAAAGAATAAAATTGCTTCTTTCTGTGTTGTGACTACATTTTTGAAGGACGCGAAGGTTCGGACGCATTATTTGAAAGCTCTTTAGTGCAGTGCATCCTGCAGCTGTCAGTTTTATGTGAACGGTGTACATTTATGATTTTAAATGGAATAAAAAATTGTTGTATGAAAAGCTCCGTGTAAATTTTCAATTTCTTGTCATTCAACTCTTTTTTTACATGCTTATTTATTATAAAAGCAGCAATGCGTTTTTATTTATTTCTTTAGATCCCTTTACGTAGTATCGTTAACGTTTTCAAATCAAATTCAGAGTGAAATGTCTTCGTATTTTCATAGCTTTTTAATGAACCATCTGTTGTTCTAGAATTGTTCAATGTAAATGCAAAAAAAAAGCTCAGTTTAGAAATGTAAACTGAATAAGTATGGATAGTAGAAAAGCTTGGTATGCAAAATAAACATTATTCAGTAAGTTATATAATTATAGAAATTGATAGGAATAGGATGCAAAGAATTCTGAGCAGCATCTATTGGTGACTGAAGTTTCATACGATATATGCTACTTATAATTGTATGCATTAATTTATTGATACAATGTATTCAGTTTTTCTATCTAGGCAACTGGCTGTGATCAAATATGCTCGTAAGTGTTATCAGTAGGTAATAAGTTTGTAATAATCATATTTGAATCAATAAAATAAAAAACTAATAGATTTACTGAAGCATGCGTTGGTAAGGCAGTACTCTTAGAATAAACTCAAGGACATAAATATCGTGAAATAATAGAAGGCAGGACTAGTGCACTGACCCAAAGAAACTATGTCCGAGCAAAGATTATAGTGCGGAATAAATGATTAGCCGAAACAGCGCTAAATGGTGAGAACTTTATCAAACTGATAACTAAGCAAGCCTAGGTTTAATAGACTATTGTAAAGGAGTACTCAAACTAGAACTGGCAGATTTTAAAACTGTAGACCACAGTATCAGACAATTACTAAATAAATACAGAGTTTATAACCAACTTGTGTGTTTAAAGAGACTATATTGGCCAAGGGACGATCTAGGACGTGAACTTTTTGCAATACTGATTAAAGAAATGAGCCTGCGCATCTCTGGCTTTAGAATTTGCTTGTAAAAAACTAGCCTGTAGAGCGGCGATTGTGAAGCACGAAAAGGCTCATAACATGTACATAGCAATATTGAACCTTATTTTAAGATCAGATACAACCTCTCAGACATCCAACCATTGAAAATCCATCAGCACCTCTGAAAGCATTCTTGTATAACGAAATAGAATATAAAACTAATCTAGCAAATCTGCAAAAGATGCGAAGGAATAATCTTGTCTTCAATAGCGGATTCATTAGTGTGAATCGGTACAGAAACATTATCTCACGAGGTGAGGCATGGTACTGTCATCTCCAGGATAGAAATATGTTTTGAGTTAAGAAGCATATGTGACTATGCTGTAAAGGCGGTAGACTGCAAGGCAGTCTATAAAAATACTTATGACTCTCCTAGACAGTATGCATTCATTTGGGACTTTGCTAGTATGATCTGAAACAATTCTTACGAATGCGAAGAAACTCACTCTGTTCAGGAGATAGCAAATGGAAACGTGAAAATAGAAATCGACACGCATAAAAAGAGCTCTAAAAATAAGTAAGGATCGACCGAATAACATGATCTATGATAAAAAACGACTATTGAAGACAAATATATATATTCGACTAGTGATGCCAACCTCTATCATATAGTACCTATGTATAAATGTTTATAGGTACTAATCATATATTTATTTTACGGCAACAAACTTTTTCTACTTTTCATCAATGCACACGTTATAATAAACTGATTTGCAGACACATAAACATATTGATGGTTTACACTTGAGTTGTAAGTGATGGACGAACTGCAAAGCATCAATTTCTCGAGCTTTTTCTCTCTGCAAATATAAATAGTTTGAGCTAAGCGATAGTTTGAGATATTTAAGATTTTGAAGTCTTTGTACGAAGAATAGATAGCAGCAGAAATGAGCAGCTAAACACGATTGAGAGAAAGTAAGTTCGTAGAAGAAAATAATTCTGACCGCATAGATTTTACATTACAATTACTTTTGTTTTCATCATATTGAATATTACAGATCCTCATATGTTTGTGTTAGTATATTCACGTGCGTCCGTATGCTTGTACATATGTATATTTGCGCGCAATTTATCTGTATGTATTATTTAATGATCTTTTACTACTACTTATTCTATCCCTAAAAATTGCATATTATCTAGTTAAAATTTTATTTTTCAACTGATTTTTCATTGGTATATTATTGATTATTTTAAGACTTACTTGATTACTTATGCTCATATCCTTCTCAGATAATTATATCTATTTAGAAGTTTTTGCATTAAATAAAGATATCAATTTTTTATTACTTTTCAAATCTAACAAACTGTTAAATACTACTACATTCTTTTTGTACTATGCTTTAAATTCTTTGCTTCCATCTGTTTTTTCTATGTAAATTCAACGAGATTTTTTATTGCTTTAAATTGATTACGAATTGATGATAGTTATAGAAATTATCATTGATCACTTTCTTCATTTCAATTTGTCATAATTTTCATGTACTCATTAATTACAACAATAGTCAAAACTCTGACTTTGTTTACACATCACTCACAAGTATACTAAAATAAAATGGTATAAGTTAAATATTTTGCAAGTTTCTGATTTCTTTATATTTTTTAACTTGAAATAGCAGCAAGTTTTAGCGTATTAACTATTGTAATTATCATATAAATTTATCTTATTATCTGTGATGATACCATAATAAGTTATATGCTGGAAATCGTAACTCACAAAACTCCTGTACAGTTAGTTTACCTTTGTAAATGTTTTACTTGAAATGGCATTAAAAAATTACATTACTGTCTTAATTTAAATTATTATATTATTAAATAAACGTCAAGTAAATAGTACAGTTCTTTTTTATGTGCTAAAAATAAACGTAATTGTTCTGCGTGTACTCATTTAATGAATTTAATGATTTAAAACTAAAAAAATAACCATGCAATTAATTGCAGTTAATTTCAGAATAAAGAATTATTAAAAGCAGCAGTTTATTGAGAGAAGCTTGTGTTCCGTACCGAACATAAGTTTCTGCTCACGTTTTTTATGTGTAATCATTTGCTAAATACAAACAGTACATGAACCAAAATGCATTCATATTAATGTCAAGAAAAATGAATCTTTTTTTGACATTTTTAAAAGTAATTGACAGTATTTCATGATTAGAAATTACATAATTTACTAATAATTATTTCCAGGTTATTAATGGATGATAATAACACAATTGATGACTTGCCGCGATTGGTGGAAGGCAGTGACGATGAAGTGGTCACTTTTATTTTAAATCTCAATTATATACACTTTTGAATAAACATTTTATTATAGCCACAAATATCTGATTAAATTTTTAACGTAATAAATGATAAACCTTCTGTTCATGCTAAATAAAAATGCATTATTCAAGTTGACTAGTAAGTAGTAGTGTTAAAGTTTAAATCTTCTATTCTATAAACTAAAAATAAATTTCTCTGGTAAATTTTACTGCCAAAAGATTCATTTCACTTTTATAATCAAGTTTCGTTCATAATTACACCTGAATTTTTCAGGAAGAAGTTAAAGCCGAAAGTTCAAAATGCACGAAGACTCAAATTGAGCCAGTCGTAACGTCTACGCTCCGAGGACGTGATACTGCTTTTGAAAATTCCTCCCATTTGAAGCCAGGCTCATCAAATACAAGCTTATCATTTTCTGCTTACAGAAGGTTCGAATATTTATATAATTTTTATTTAGACTTGGATAATAATTGCGGATCATACAAGACTTGATTGCTACATACATTTTGTAAGCACTCATTAATAAAAGTTATTTTTGACGGACAAAAAAAATTTTTATGTAGCATTTTACTCGATTTGTATCATGACTTTCTGACTTTCTTTTAAGCCAATATGAAATCATATAGACATTTTGGTATGGCAACAAAAAATTGCTCAAAGTTGGTTATGAAGATCAGCTGTATTTGAAAAATATTACAAAAATTGAAAATTATGTTGTTGCATGTATATTCCAATGTAATCTTGTCTAAAAGAATCACTGAAACTTACAGTTTATTATGATTTTATGATTAATTTATTATGATCATGATTCTATAATAATTTTTATTTTCAGCAACAATCGATACCCGTTGCATACACCTGCATTTAAACGAATAGATTTTAGTGATTTAAGTGATGCGCTTGTTGAAGAGAGAAAACCTGCTTGGAAGTTATGGCAAGATTCTATTAAAGATTCTTATTATAAAGTATGTATTACATAAGTTTGAAATTTATATTTATACGAGTATTATATTTCGCATTTTTTTATCATTTTAAAATATAATAAAATGTAAATATAAAAATTTTTAACCAAGGTTATTGAAAATATAAATTATGACAATAGCAGGTTCGTAAAAATGCCCAAAAAAGTGTTGAAGAAACAGCGTTTAACGATTCTCAGTTAATGAGACGTCGCGAGAAAAACTCAGTCAGTCCTACTGAAGAATTATCAATTCCTAGTCCATTTGCTCAAAGGTCAAGTCATCTTGCGTCATATCTACGAAGTCCATTTCTTCACCGGTCAACGGGTTAGTTTTTTTGCTCTAAAACATAATATGGGCTATTTTGTTAAAATAAAGACATAGTAAAAGCAGCAGGAAAGATGGGAAATTCGACTATAAAATAGTTGTGAAAAATATATTTCAGCACAGTTTATTTTTTGATTTTCAAAATTTTTCTTAACTTCAGAGCTTTGTTCATAAGAGTTTGAGAATGTAAATGAAAATATGAGAGTAAAACTTTTTAAAGTATTCATTTTTATCTTTGAAATATTATCGAACAGTGCAGTGCTTGCTTTGAACTATAGATTTATATTTGAGTATAAGATATGATCAAGTTCTAAATTTTATTAGTTGATTACTGAAATGTTCATAAGTTGAATTTTTAATAATTTCAGAAGATGGAAAAGGTACTTCTGTTTGAAACTGAAGTATATATTGTTGAAAAATATTAACTTCCTTTATATACATAAATGTTTGAGTATAATTATAGAAGTAATATTTTAGGTCCTGTAGCAGCACCAGCTGTTTCCTCTTCTCAAGGTATTGAAGAACGCTACAATGATAAAGTAAATGATATTGAAGCACGATTGCTAAAAACTTCAATTTTACCAAATTCAGTAAAGAGCATTACTATGCATGATTTTCGAAATGGACCAAATCCAGCACCTGGTAGCGTATCTGAAACACTTATCGATGACACCGATTATCAAGTAAGTTGTCATCAAGGTATACCTCCATCATCATATTTGTGGTTATTGATAAAGTTAGTTAGTTTCAACTTTCAAATTTAGCAAAAGTACTTGCAGCATTTCTGTGTAAGACAAGTTGACCTTTCTTCCTAAAACATTTCCTGAAATTATTGTCGATGCTATTGTTATATTACTGTTTCTTATTTTTATCATTTTTACTGACAGAATTTGCTCAATGTTTCAGACATTTTTACCGCGTCCATATTATAGCCGTCCAAATCGCAATGATCCAGATTATTTCGATTTTGATTTGCAACACTCTGTAAATCTTTTTAAACGTCCTGAAGGCAAATATGTTCCTAAAGGGTCACTTTCTCTTTTTTTTTTACTTCTATCCTGTAAAGTTTCATCCCAAATAGCATTTGGAATTAAAGTATATCTGAATTTGCGCTTCATGAAAAGTTTTAGTTGCAGAAAAATAATATCAGTTTGCAACTAATCCGAACTGCGAATATTAATTTATAATATAAAACTTTATATTCTTCATATATTCTATTATTTTTTGTATTTTTGGATTTTATGACTCAAATTTTGACAGTAATACAGATATTGTTGCTTATGTAAGGTATATTTTGGAATCATACGTTCTACTAACTTTATTTTCAATATATAAAGATGGTTTTCATTCTTTCAATTTCATTTCTTTACTATTATTTAGGCCTCAGACGTGGGAAGAAAAATTATTGCGAGAATCAAATTCAAAAGGGGATGCACCGCTATCTGCCTACATGTTTACAAAGGTACTCAGATTTTTTTAGAAAGATGAATCGAAAATTTTTGAAAAAAAAGCGCTGAAAATGTATGCTTGTTTAAAATATTGTGATTTCAAGCATCTAAATATCAGTCAAAACAAAAACATTGATTTTAGGCAAATCAAAATTTTCCCATATAATATAATAATGCGTATGTTACTTGAATCAAAACATTTGCAAAAGTTTTTTAAGATAGGTTGTGAGATACTGAAATTTTTGATTTTATTTTACAATGTTATTATGATCAAAGAGAATCGATTTTATAGTTGCTGAGTCTGATAAGTAGAGCTTACAGAGCAAAGTAACTGTGGAAAAAGTAATAGATTCCGTTAAGTATATGGAAATGTTGGTTAAGGGTGACACTGATTGGAGAACAGCTGGAACATCTTATCTTAGTGCTGCCCTTCGAACTCCATCATTTTGGGAGCATCGATTTGAGTCTATTGGACGAGAAGTTCGTGATAGCAATCCAATTTCATTTGATAGCCTTGCAAGGTTCAGTTTTGATTTACAAACTTCTGTCTAAAAATCAACAGCTTCAAGCATGCATTGATTTCTCTACGATCAAAATTCAATCAGTGAAAAAATATTTGTACTTATGCTGTAAACAATTTTAAATTTTGTCCTTATGCAAGTGAAAATATTGGTCTTAAAGATTTTGGTTTTTCAAAAATAGACAATATCTATGAACAGTAATTCTGCAACACTATTAATTTGAAAAAAAAAATGTCTTTTTGTTATCTAATTTTCTGCGGATAATATAGTCTTTTTTCTGAATTTGTTTTAGATTTCTTAAATTTTATCCCATATGTTTCAAAGTTAAAAGTTTAAAGTTCAAGTACGTAAGCTTTTTATTATTGCTCTCTTTCATAAAGTTTTTTATTTTGCAGAAATAAACCAGTTCCAAATCGTTTCACGGAGTACCATGATCCAGACTATGAAGACTTGTCGGACTTTGAAGATAAATATTGAAAAGTTAAGCTGGGTAATATGAAAAGGAAAAGCTTATCGTATTCTTCTGTCCTTGACTTAAATCGTAGTATTCAAAATATGTTTGCTTAATATGCGTTAGTCTTACTGTGTTATTGTCACTGCCACTATTACAAGTAAATCAAATAATTTTATCATAAAATAATGTTTCTTTGAATCAAACTGTTTGTGTGCGCCAATATCATTTATATTTCGGGCTCTTTTACTGCTGCTAACTACAAAATGTTTTTTTTTTCTTTTACAAAAACATTGTTGAACTGAGTGAGCTCATATTTGTGTTGTATGTTAAGCACATATCTAATACAATTTGCGGCTAAAATCTGAGTATATTTTTATGTTAAGACTATCAAAGTGAAATTGTTAACAATCTAAACAGATATGAGCAAGTTGAGTACTTTATTCTAGATGAATGTATTTTACCTTACTTAAAGGTCAAGATCGCAAGCAATCAATGTTAGATTTTGTCTATCCTTCACATTGGACTAATTATTTTAAAGTGTGCTATGTAATATTTTACGAAAGTCAAAGATTACGGACTAAAAATTTTGTTAAATATAGTGCGCGATACGTAATTGAACTTAACATGTGCTAATAAAGAAATCTTTAGTAATTTTATTTCTATAAAAGAAAACGGAAAGAATATATTTTGAGATTATTCAGGTTATCATATAAAATAGTCGTTGAATATGTTAGACATATCAAGTGAGTATCTTAATAAACAATACTTATCTATGACTATTAAGTATCAAAGGTCAAAAATTTATTTCACGGAAAGTTTTGCTAAAATTTTTCTACAGATAGATCTGGAGATGAATACTTTAATTAGATAAGAAAATTGTTTTTTATTGAAATACAGCATTTAAAATTTATTTCATGCTTGACTTTCACTTCATAAAAAGTCAAGCATATAAAAAATAACAGTAATAGCATTGTCTCATTTATCAAAAAAATAATACGCAGTTTAAAAAATTACTCTTTTCACACACAGAAAGTGATAAATACAGCTGAATAATATACAAAAAATTATGCAGTATAATAAAATTGAGTCAAGCAACTAGTAATATACATTTTAAGGAAATATATCAAAGAATGGTTACTACAAATTTTGGTGCTGACAGCAGCAAAAACAGAAATTGCGGACAAAAGATTGTGCCTGATCTTGGATGAAACACAACATATTCTCGTAATTTCTGTTTCCATTCTTTTTTCTGTTCTACTTCTGTCTGTTATGGCGACATTATGATGCGACGATGGAAATGAATGGTGGAAATACCAGTGAGATTAGTTGCGACAACAAACGTAATGATATCGACAGTCAACGATGCCACAACAGTGAAAATGGTAGCAGTACGAGAGAACATTCCAGGATTCAAATAGATCAGTTATCTAGTGGCTCGAGACGAGTCCCTGAAGGACCTTCCACATCGCAGGCGACTTCCAAAAAGTGAAAAAAAGAAGCGGATCATAACGACAATGTTCATGCGACTCCATGTTGCAGTACATCTAAAGCAATGAAGACGGGATTTGTCTCTTCGTTGCTTCAGGAAGAAAATAAAAAAAGATGACACGCATGGCACAAATGTAGCGGAAAAAAAAAAGCCCGTTGCAAAACGAGATAGAAACCGAAAAGAAGAATGCTATGTGATCGTATAGTTAGAATATCACAAGTCTGAGGAGAAGATAGAAAAAAAAAGTGTATCGTAATCTTGGAGTGATTAAAAGCAAGCAAGTAATATGTAGTATGATACTATCTCATGCAGACAGTACATGGACCACTGAGAGCAAATACTTTGACGTACGTGTGCTCAAAAATATGTATATTGAAGATTTTTGAAGTCATTTTTATTCAAGTGCAAAAATTTGATGACTAATATTATTTAATGTTTACATGATTGTTAAAAACATTATTTTTTCATTAAAATCATCGATTTTTCATTAAAATCATCGAATTTATTGATTACTTTATTAATAATCACTTATTTCGCTTAATAATCCCGAATCTTTAATCATTTTTAATCTTGATATTCCTTTCCATCAGTTATAATAATTCAGTATTTTGATGAAAATTCATTTTTCGATTTTGAGACAAAATAAGTCACTACTAAAAACAACTGAAAATCCATGCTATCCTGAGGCCTTGGCTTTTAAACAAATCAAGTAATTATAAAGCTAAAACGTTTTTCCTTGCAAAAGGGATAAATAAAAATAAAGTGTGAAGGCGTACAAATTTTCGCTAATGCATCAAACAAGTAAAGAAAGTCAATAAATTGTAATTGAAGTGGATAAAAAGAAAAGCACAATGGTCAGAAGATTGAGAGAAAGTATGGCAAAAAATAGGAAGTTGAGAAAAGTATAGCAATGAATTTGTTGTGTATTGTTAAAAAAAATGATCATCATAATTATGAAGTCTATAATTATAATTAATAAGTATTCAGTAAAATAAAAACGATATTGACGATAAACAAAACAAGGGAATTTGAATTAAAATAGCTGTAAGTTTGTCTTGCAAAATTGCGCACATTAAAACGATATGTTGAATATAAAAATTGTAATTAAAGAGGCAAAATGATATTTGGAAAGAAAAGTCAACAAAAAAGATGAAAAATATAATTTCGAGTTTTAATTTTTTCAAATTTATTTACTGAAATTTAAAAGTTGCAAATAATAAAAATTTTATATTCAGTTTTTGAAATGCGGTTGCTTATGATTAGTAACACAACACAGTTAAAAAATTAGAAATTTTCATATCTGATGTAATAATAAAACATTTTATGCGTAGTTTTTGATTGAAAATGAAAGTTGTGCAATTGAAAGGAATTGTAATTATGTAATTCTAAAATTATAATGTAATTTTTTTTAAAAAGTTTAAAATTCAAAATGTAAATTAAACTTGAAAAAGTTTCGAGTAATGTTACTGCTGTAAGAGTAAAGAAGTTTTTTATTGCAAGAAAACATAAATAACGACAAAATTCTTTTCATCCTTTTTATGTTCTCTATAAGACTACAATTGCAAGACGTTTCCTTCAAGAGAAATTAATGAAAACTTTGCCAGTAAAATTTATTCAACTTATTATTGCAAAAACCATGAAATATTTTTGTCTGTTGAAGATTCATTAAAACTCCCAAGCACAAAAAAATTCTATTACTTAAGTAAGCTTAAAGCGAAATTTCATTGGCTTTATTGAAAGGATTTGCAGATTTTTTTTATACTTTTTTGGTTTAGAATATCCATTATAAAAAGAAAAAAATGCACAAATCAACATTCAAGTATTTGCAGACAAATTAATATTTCCAAAACATTTCCATAAACGATCAAACAGATTACCTTTTTTCAAAGTAAGCATAAATTCTGGTACACATAAATATGAATACCAATTTATATAATGAAGATTAAACTAATAAACATACTCAATTTCTTCTAGATATTTTCTGTTATAGACTAATATGATTTCACAACTGATCTCTTTTTATGCAATAATCTTATTATTTAATACAAATTTGGTCACGTTTGATCTCTACGGACAATAATTAACTGGGAAGATGCTGGAAGGTTTGTTTCTTGAATTAGTTATAAAAAGTTCTGATTAATTGAATTAAGCTTTTTTTTCGTCAGAGCAAGTTTATTTTGTTTAGAGTAAAAACTGCCACAAATACTGCAAGTTGTATTTCTTATCAATTAAAATGTACAAAAATAATCACTACAAAGTTTAAAAAATTATTCATTTTATATTAGATGATTGCTTTTGTAATCATAAACATTGAGCGTCTAATCAATTTTCATCAAATTTTTATGACTATTTTCACTTTGACAACTATTAAATATGAAATGGCATAGTTTGGCAACATGGTATTAAAATAATATTTAAAAAATAATTATTGCTAGAAGCAGCTTATCACAAAAATGTGAATCACTAAAATGGCACTTTTTTTCGACACAAAAAAAGTAATCAAGATAAATTCTTGTGAAATATGTAGTTCTTTGATCATAATTAAGACGCTTAATTGCAAGTGATTTTTATTTAGAAGAAATATATCAGCAATATCAGTAAAATAGGCAAAGTCTGCATTTTTTCCATAAAAAACAAGTTAAAGATCATTAATTTTCCATCCTTATAATTCAGGAAATAAATAAAATGTAAATTTTTCTGTAAAAATATTTGCTGTTTTGCTAAATTCTAAAAAATTGAGAAAACAAAAACCTCTTTAAATGTTACAAACATTTTATATTCATTCAACAGCAAGCTTTCAAATGGTAAATACAAGATTTAACTCATAACAAGTATAATTACAAAGTATATTGAGAACAAAAGGTCATTCGCAAAATTTAAGCACAAGAATAAAATAAAAATGAAATTACATTAATTATGCAAAATAATTATGTCTGTTATTTGATAAGGTAAATGAACAATTTTGTACATAACATAAATAAGTGCTTATATCTATTAGTAAGAAGCAAGCGAACATTTTAAAAAAAAGAAAAATTATAAATGCTGGATATGACAAATTTATTTGCTTCATAATCAAGTCGCATGATTGACAAAATAGAAATAATGTTTAAAAAATAAAAATTTCACTATTTTGCATAATGATATTAGAATATCTCAATTTAAACATTTTTCTTTTTGCTTCAATAATGCTAAAAAAAGTATTTTATAAAATTAACAAGAAAACAATGTAGATCCTTACTGTTTTTGATAAAAAATGAAAGTGAATATGAAATTTATAATTGTGCAACAAGAAAAGAAAGTATTAAAAATAAATAATATATTCAGGAGTCCGGTAATTGATAGTGTGAGCAATATATATATATATCAAATCTTCAAATTCAAATCACATACACTACAGGCAGACTTTTGATTTTTTGGCTTTGATCTGACGCAAAAACGACGAAACACTTTGACGAGATTTTGAGATACTGACGTGATTTCATTTTTTTGTTCTGCTGTTGACTCTCGCTTTGCCCGTGCCTTTTCATTGCTTGTTGATGGTGACGCGAAATCCGGAAATATAGCATAGTTAGAAGCAGTTTGATTGGCAGAAATTGTCGTAAATATTATTATTGAAGAATTAGAATTAGTTAAAGCAGAACAACCACGTATAATATTACCTTTTTCTTTAGTATCAATCATTGCATCACACATTTCAACTCCTTCAACAATAGATACCAAATCACTGATCGGTTTCTTCAATAAATTACCATGACCTCTTGGTACTGCTACATTGCAAGATTTTTTCGTAGTAATCGTTCCATCATTACAGCGAGCAGATTTTGTATTTCTAGTCACATTTTTAATTTGAGCATGTTTTCGAGTATTTTGAATTTTCCGTTGTTGTACAGGAAATAAATTCATATCTTTGGTAATAATTGGTGCTAACATGGTCGATTGATTTACTTTGAATATTTCACCGTATTTCTTCTTGCTTAATTTTTCATCGACAAAAACAATGTCTGCTTTCTATGTGTAAAATTAATTTGAAAAATAATAACGAGATTAATTAAAAGTAAAAGTAATCGAGAAGTATTGCTTCAAATGGTCTAACAAACATGCACAACTTGTTGAAATACATACATAAGTGGTATATATACGTATTATACATTCATATTCATATAAGTAAGTATACATTCATATACACGCCCAATAGTATATGCTCAATATTTCTAACTTGCAATTTATGTTCTGCCCTTTGGCAGTGTTCCAGTTTGAAGTAATATGCACTTTAATCTTTTTTTCACTTGCTTGATTTATATCACTACAACAATCAACTTAGCAAGCACAGAACTCAGCTCTTTCTCTTCTTTGTTTTTTTCTACTTTACTTGAGTAGTAAGTTAATAATTCCATGGTAATATTTCAATTGTTGAATGCAATAGCTACTAATGATAATAACAACTGTGAATGCTTCAGTTGTCAATGCACAAGTTATTAATTGCTATATATGATCAGTCTTTTTCCTTGTTTATTTTATTATTATTTTGTTTGTAAACTGAGAAATCAAAGTAAAGTTTCGGCTAAATTTTAATAATGTTTTTGTATGCATTTAGTTTTAAATTAATTACTCGCAAGAATTATTAATTAGTCACAATTGAAATTAATTAGTTAGTCGCATTTGAAAATAATAATTAGTCACAAAAATGCAAAAACTATCGAATGAATAATAATGAATCATAACGTAAATTTTCAAAATTTAACAAGCTTAGGCAATTATTTTTGTGATCAGTAAAAGCTTGCAAACAAATCTCTTCTAAAATTGATCTTTACGCGACATTTTCTTTACTTGAAGCAATAATAGAATTGTTAACAGCCATAAAGTGAGAAAAAAAATTAAGTTTGCTTTCTCATTGCTCAAAAAAAGTAAACTTTTTTAAGTAAAGCATTACAAAGATGCAAACGTGAATAAAGTTATGGAGAAGCAATAGACAGCAGCAAATTTTTCCTCTTTCCATGTACTACAACTAATACTTATTTTTTTCATTGCACGAATAATAATAGCACATGGAGGATACTTAAAGTATTAGTTACATTTGAACATTTGAATAGTAATTGTCACTATCAAAACTTACCAACTATTGAATGGCTTACTTTAGCATTCTAGATAGCTTAACTAGCTGTTTTTTGTCAAAAGATCGATCAGCCTGCATTTTGAAGTAAAAGCCATATAAGCAAGTCACAACAAGCTCATTTCTTGAAATTTGATCATTTAAACTGGTTATTTATTAATATTTCCTAATTACTTGCATTATAACATTGCTAACCTAAGTTGGTGTTAATTAAACCATTCAGAAGATAAATGTTGCGATCTATGATCCGTGATACAAACATATTTATTGAGATTTGTACGCTAGTCATAAGAATCTTTCATGGTTTATGCAATCAGATATTAGTTTTCAATACTTTGAAAGATTTCTCTTGCAAGTTGCAAATAATCTGTTAATTATTTAATCTTTTTTGCTAGTAGCAGCAGTAATACAAGAAATTGAACGTATCGCTGCATAAATTATGTAAAAATTTGAAGTCTAAAAAGTGGTAAAAAAACACCTGTCTTCAAATAGTACAAATTATCATTACTTATCAGATAAAGATAAGGTGCCAGCTTTGTGAATTTAGAGTATAAATTCTGAATTATTAGTTCAAAAACTGCTAATTCTTAGTTCAAACCCAGAATACTATCACTTCATTTAGGAGATATACAGTAATTAATTATGAAAACTGCAATTAAAAAAAATATTAATAGCACCGTCTACTTTACATACTTTTCTTCAATAAAATGCTGATATCATCGTTTATTTGACGTACTTATCTTTAAATAATTACTCAAAACTTGATTAAAATGTAGAAATTATTATTATTATCCATTATCATTTATGAAAAGTATGTCAGAAGAAAGCACTAATCAAATATTTCTTTTACAAGCCAATTTTAATGTAATATTTCTGAGAAGTGTGTCATAAATCTCATTATTATTTGTTTACAATCTTTATTAAAAATTTGAACTCAAATTAAGCAAAAATCGCCTTGCTGAAATTTGCGTTTTAGAACAAAAGAAATGTTTAATAAAAGATTATTATTAAAGAATCATTTCTTAGACGCAAAAAAAGTAATTAGCATACACAGCCAGAAGTTTCTATCTTATCGTTTTTTCTTTTGCAACTTCAGTAATTAGTGAGAATTGATATTTGAAGAGTCAATTTACTTAAAATTTTAAATATCATTTGTTTCCAATTTAAACAAAATTTTCTATTACTTAAAAAAGGAAAGTGAGCAATTAAAACTTTCAAATGTAAACATTTGCTAAGAAAATATTGATATTAAGGAAAAAAATGTTTGCAATAAAATAATGTTCTACAGAACTTTTCTAAAAAAGTAATTGTTATTCATAATTATTTGTCATTAATAATAATGATTCTTAATACATAATTAATTTCTTTTTTGCAAACAATTTTTTTTCCCTGCCAAATGTATTTATTACTATAAAGGTTATAAGGAAAGAAAATTAAAGCAAACCTTGAAATTGTTTCTTTTCCATCATATACGTTATAATAACGTTTTGAAAAGTGAAGGGTGAAAGTGAAAACTTATTCAGCCTATTATGTCATTTCTTTCATTCATTTGAAATAGATGAAACTTTCGCTAATTGATTGAGATTTGAAATACTACCAATCAGTTGGCAGAATTTTTGGAGGAAAAAAAAGAAGAAAAAAAACTGAGCTCGTTAAAATTTGATACTTTATAGTAAATAATGCATTACAAAACATGACTACTATACTAATATGACTGACATAAATCTTAAATCTCTTGAAACTAATAAATTTGTAATGCTTTTTAGTGTAAAGTTATAAAATTTTCAAAGTTTCATTTCATCAAACTATTTGCAAGACAAAGCATTTTGTTATCGAAATTTTTAGCTTTCTTAAAGTTTTTACAAAGTTTGAAATATTTTTTGTGTCAAAAAAAGCAACACAACAGGACCAACTCATTAAGCATTAAGATAAGAATTATTAGACAAGCAGATAAGTTGTAAGCTATCAGTTCACCAAAAGATTTACTGAACTTTACTTTTATAGAGGTTAACATATGATATAAAAAATATAGACACATTATTTGGGGTTGAATCATTCATCAGTTATATTTTTACTTATTGTGATGAGAATATTTTTTGTCAAAATAAATATGCTAAATTTTTGAGCTTCCATAATTCATTATATGCATAAACGTGTAATTTTTGTTTCATTTTTTTTAGATTATCATAACATCTTGATAGAAAAGTTTTTTCAAGCTTAAGGCATATTTCCTTTCTCTAATATTACGAAAAATAAATGAGTAATACTTTCAATTTTCAACTATTTGAAACTTAAAAATTGTGTAAGCATTTGGAAATATTATAAAAAATATATATGTATTACTAATAAATGTCGAAAGTGATAATAGTTGTTTACATACTTCAAAACTTTTGAATAGAACATCTATGACGATAGTTTGGCAATGCTGCATTAGCATGCTTTATACAAAATTTTAGGCAATATTTATTCGAACAGAAATAAAAAATAATCAAAGTAAAAGTATTATTCACGATAATTTTAGTTCATTGTAAAAAGTAATCATAAGACACTTCAGAAGATCAGTACTTCTACTGATCATAATGAACAGTTTACAGGGCGGTACGCAAATTACCGCGATAACGAATTTCTTCATCTTCTCCATCTTTACGAATTCGTCGCCATTTAGCCCGTCGATTTTGAAACCACGTTTTTACCTAAAACTCGTTCATAAGTAATACTAATCGTAAAGCTTATATCACGCTAATCTCAAAATACTTCTCAAAAACAAGAAAAATTAAATGGTGAAGTTTCAATTATAATAGTTAGAAATATACCCTCTATTTGATCATTCTGATCATAATAAACATAAAAATATATAATGAATATGAAAAGCATCAAAATAAGTTGCTTAAATTCCTCCTACAAAGGATTTAAACAATATGTAAGGAATGAAGAAAGATGATGTCATTAATAAAATACAGCTGCAAAATATTTTATCACTGAAAAAAAATGATGATAAAAAGATAAGACAATAAAATTTAAGTTTCATACGTATTAATTGAAAATCAAAAATAATGCAAACATTTTTTCAAATTATTAGCTATTAATTAATCATACTTATTAGTAATACAATAAAAAAACAATTATATATTGATGAAGAAAATTATGCATTTCAAAATAATACTTGTATCTCAGTGAGTTCCAATTCTCTCGCCAATACTTTGCGCTCCTGCGATGATAAGTATTTGTCATAGCAAAACTTTTGCTCAAGTGCATCAGTTTGTTCACTTGTAAATCGAATTTGTCCACCTTTACGTTTGTGAGTTGATTTTTTAACGTATTGTGATGACCAAGGCATTTGCTGATGCGATCCTTAATATGTTAAACTTTGAACTATGAAATAATTTAAAAGCCTAAACTGCAAATCATAAAGATTTTTCTACTAATAAAAATATAACAAAATGCAAATTTTATACAGCAAAAAAGTTAGTTTGTATTTTGTCACATTTAAAATAAAACATTAAAATTGTTAAAATATATGTATATTATTTATTTTACTTTATACATTGATGAGCATATAATGTTATTACAATATTTACCAAATTACCAAGTACTTATAATAAATCATTAAAATGCTTTATAAATCATTTTATGTAGCAGTTATTGCTAAATAACAAATAATTCCAATAGTTCTAAAACAGGAAATTGATAGTATTTGATTTCGATTATTTGTCTTATTTATCCATTAACTTGTTTTGTTCATTTAATGTTAATTGACATGATATATATATATATATATATATATATATAT